ATGGTACGTTGTATGCTTAGAGGTATGGGGGTACCAAAATCTTGTTGACATTTTACTGTTTTAACTTCTACCTTTTTGTGTTATCATACAACGAGTCGTGTTTTTCAGCATAGGGCTCCTTTACAATTTTTATTCTCCGAGCAGACACTTTTTTTGGTCTCCCCTCGTGCTTTTGGCTACACATGTTTTGTTCAGGATTGGTCTCTTACTCGTTATAAGCTTGATGATAAAACGATTCTTTGTATCTTTGTAGGCTATTGTCATCAGTCTAAGGAATATCGGTGTTATGATTCTATCAGGCGACGTATATATCGTAATCTAGATATTACATTTCTTGAGCATATTCCTTAATTTTCTTTCAGTCTTGTGTCTATCCCTCTAGTTGATGATACTCCCTTTGATGTTTCATTACCACAGGAGCCAGAGCCATGGGTCACTATCAATACAAAGTCATCAATCTCTCCTTCTCCAGAGTCACTCGTCCCTGTCAGTACTGAGTTACCAGTCTTTCTTCCTTTGCAAGTTTATGTTCGTCGCTCTCGCTCTCATCCCCCTGCTAATGTTCCCTCTACCTCAGGTGATGCAGGTAATACTTCTCAGTTCGTTGAGCATATTGATGCACCTATTGTTAGTACTGATGAGATTGTAGGTACTGAGCCAATCACTTTACCTGATCAGACATTGTCAGTGGTGGATGATGATTTAGGGTGTCGTTATCCGCGGCGTGATCACCGTCCAGTTGTTCGGTATGATTGGACTACTAGGACTTTTTATCCGATCTCTGCTTATATTTCTTGTGATAATCTGTCTCATATATTTCGAGCTTATAGTATGACCTTATCAGATACGTTAGTTCTTTGCTCTATTTCAGAGGTTATGCGAAAGCCCCAGTGGGTTCTTGCCTTGCAGAAAGAGATGAACACTTTTAAGTGTAATCATACGTGGGATCTTGTCCCTTTACCTTCAGGGGTGAAACCTATTAGCTGTCGCTGGATTTACACCCTGAAGTTTCTTGTGGATGGTACTATTGATCATCACAAGGCTAGACTTATGGCGAAGAGCTTTATTCAGTTATCAGGTCATGATTTTGGTGTCACATTTGCCCTTATGATAAAATTGACTATTGTTCGATTGATTATTTCTCTGGCTGTGAAGTACTCTTGGCTCTTCATTAGTTAGTTGTGAAAAATGCATTTATTTACATAGATGCACCACCTGCCTTGCATGGTGTAATTACCCATATAAAAAAATTATTATATTATTTTGGTGCATTGGCTACCTAGGAGTAATATATAAGGATATATATATATATATATAGGATAAAAATAATTTAAAAAAAAAGAGACTAATATATCTCTAATAAAAAGTCTTACCTAGAGTCCTATTAGGACTCTTATACATGTAGTTTAAATAAGGTAGTATTGTTGGATAGGTCAAACCCTTATATATATAAAAATATATTTAGGTTGTAGGGTCTTTTGGTGATAAGGCTTATGGAGGAGGGTGTCCTATGAACAAAGAAGAGAAAAATAACGTGAAAGAGGAAAAAAGAGAGAAAAGAAAGAAGGAGGAATAAGATAAGTGGATTAAGTCCTTTAAAGGTGAGTTTATTATTTATTTTATGGGTTTTATAGTTTATTCAATCACATGATATTAGGTTGATGATAATGATATTGCGTAATATGTATATATACACATATACAAAATGAGTTTCATGATAATCGTTTATTATTATTGAAATTTATTAGATTGAATTTAGACTTATAGTTGACTAATCCATAAGTTGAAAAAGAAAAGAAAAAAAAAGGTTTGAAATTGTTGTGGTAGAACAAACAACCTGGATGATCGTAGGTGGAAGAAGACCAATCTAGAAATTATAGAAAACTTCCCTTTAATTTCAAAGAGTTTTATTTTGACCCCTTTATTCTTCTGAACTTAATTTTAAGTACTTTTTTACTTGGTAAGTTGTAAGAACAGAATTTTGGAAAATTTATGACAGCCCCGAAGACAGAAAATTCGTTGTTAACAAAAATTATACTTTGACCCCAAAAGTTTCAAAAATTATAATTTGACCCTAAAATTTTAGGAACTTTTTCTAAACAGCCCAGAAAACTTCCATATCTTATTCCCTCGTATTAGAAAGGATGTTTATATGTAAAGGATATATTAAGTATATATCAAAGAGTTAAAAGTACGTAAATTAAATATAGAATCACGAAATGACGAAATTAGAAATAGGGATTGATCGTTATATGTTATTTTGAATTAGGTGGTGATTGCATTGAGGTTGAGAAAGAGTGTTTGAAATTGAATTTTAGAAATCAAGGTGAGTAGTTTATTACTTATATTGAGAGGATTTTCTATATTAAATTTGTGGGTGCGTGTGTGTGAATTTTTCATATATATGATATATGTTGATGTTTGAGATTGCAATTAAATATTTTTGCAATTGTGAATTGTTACACATATGAATTTGCAAAACTTATGAGATGATTTGATATTATTACTTAAATGGTTTTGGTGATGAAAGAGAAATTTTGTGTGCGAGGAGATTAAAACAACAGTTTTAGTGTGTGTGTTGAAATCATGTTTTATGAGAAGGGGACTGGGTTACCAGGTCTAAATGGTAACGAGATTGTATACTGGCGTGGTCGGTATAGGGATGTGCACATAGGGGCCAGTTATCAGGTTAGTGATAACAAAAGACGGGACCAGTCATCAGGCTAGTGATGACAAAAGATGAGGCCAGTTACTAGGCTAGTGGTAACAAACATGATTTGACAAGTGTATTTGAGATTGAATGTGTGTGTGAGTGTTTTGAGCTATAAATGTCTTTTCTTTTATAAAGTTATTATGATCATGAGATCATTTTGTTTACATGGTTATGTGAAAGGGATTGGGGTACAATTTATTGTATTTATGTATATAACAAAGTTTATTTCTGTGTATATGAAATGTGGAATTTATTTTCAAACTTCATTAGAGGTGGTTGCTACTCACGAACCTTTGTGCTCACCCAAATATTTAACATTTTTCAGGTGAGGATCAGGAGGACGAGTAAGTCCTCGGATAGACAAGGGATTAGAAGATTCAAATATTTATTTTATTGTAGGTCTTCAGGAATAAATATTTTTTTATAGTTGTGAGACAAGTATTCGATTGTTTTGAGAACAATGTTGTGTTTGCTTAGAGTAGTGAACCTTATGGATTAATTATTGTTTTATATGAGATTAATAATAATGTCGGTGATGTTAGTTTATTTCTCTGATATTCATTAGGTCGGTGAAAAAGATTATTTTATTATTTATTTTTTGCTGTATTTTGCATGAATTATGCACATGGATGGTTGGTTAAGGCCTCGGTAGCTGATCTGCTGCTCACCCTATGTGATCCGGGGTGAGGGTATGACACATGGTGAAGGGGAGTATGCTGGAAAAGTATGTCGATTGCGTCAGTCTCTTTATGGACTGAAACAGTCACCATGAACTTGGTTCTCTTACTTTAGTGGTGTAGTTGTACGTTTAGGGTTCACTAGATGTCATTCTGATCATACCTGCTTCATTCGATCGAATACTTCTGGATAGTGTGTCATCTTTTTGGTATATGTTGATGATATTATTATTACTGGAGATGATATTTCTGGGACTACACAGGTCAAGGTAGACTTGGGGAAGACCTTCGATGTGAAGGACCTTGAATTTTTGCGTTTCTTTCTTGGGATTGAGGTTGCCTGTAGCAGTAGGAGTATTGTTCTTTCTCAGAGAAAGTATGTTTTGGATCTTTTCTTAGACACTTGAATGCTGGGGTGCAAACCGACATCGTCACTCATGATTGCAAATCTAAAGCTTATTGCTGAAGGTGAGGAGTTAATAGATCCGACTGTCTATTAGAGGTTGGTAGATAGACTTATCTATCTAGCCAACACTAGGCTAGACATTTTATTTGTAGTCAGCCCGAGTTAGTCAGTTCATGCACAGATCATGTCAGCCTCATCTTGATGCAATTTATCATAACCTTCGGTACCTCAAGTCTTGTCTTGAACTTGGATTGTTCTATGCATCAGGATCTCAGACTGGTTCTCTAACCTGTTATTCAGATTATGGGGGAGCGTATGACGATCGATCTACTACAGGATTTTATGTTTTTCGAGAGGCTCATCTTATCTCTTGGAAGAGCAAGAAACAGTCAGTTGTCTCTCGCTTGCCAGCAGAGACAGAGTATCGGGCACTGACATTTGACACATGTGAGATTATCTGGCTACGATCAATTCTTGGCGAGTTGGGATTTTCAATGACTTCTTCATCTACATTATATTGTGATAATCGATCTGCTATTCAGCTTGTTTCTGACTCTGTATTACGCGAAAGCATATAGAGATCGATGTTCACTTTCTTCGAGAGAATGTTAACAGTGGTATTGTCACTTCATCGTTTGTGGGAACCAGTGATCAGGTTGCAGATGTTTTCATCAAATCTGTCATTCTATCCATTCTCCGAGACTCCGTTATCAAGCTTGACTTAGTTGACATTTGTGCACCTAGCTCGAGGGGGAGTGTTGAAGTTATAACAATCTAGTTTATTGGGCTTAGTTTATTAGGGATCTTTTTTCCTTTTTTACCCTAATTATGACTTTTATATTTTTCCTAGATCACAAGGATGTTTAGGTCACTTTGTAATATTATTTGACTATATATATGGGGATCTACTATTAGTTTGGGTATCCTTTTTTACTCACCAATACATCAAGTTTTTCTAAAGCTAAGAAATTAAAAATGGGCCATAAATATTATGTTATTTGAACCTGTGATCTGTGTGTATGAATGATTTTCTTGCAAATGCCCATAACTATTTGACAATAGAGCGAAACAAAAGAAGTGTATAAAGCCTGAAAATTGGTAAGAATTCACTCCAAGTTTTTTTCTACTCCATTTTCCAGGTTCAAGTTTATGGAAGGATAGCTTATGTTCCTCAGTTAGCATGGATCCAAACAGGCACCATACAAGACAATATACTGTTTGGGTCCACCATAGATCAACATAGGTATCAAGAAGTACTTGAAAAATGTTCACTAGTAAAGGACCTCGAAATGCTTCCATTTGGTGATCGCACTGTAATTGGAGAACGAGGTGTCAATCTCAGCGGTGGGCAGAAGCAGCGAGTTCAACTTGCACGTGCACTATATCAAGATGCAGATGTGTATCTCTTGGATGATCCGTTCAGTGCAGTTGATGCACAAACTGCTGGCAGTTTGTTTAATGTAATCGTAATTCCTAACTAACTGCAATTTGTGCTTCTTATGAAACTGCTTTCTAACTGAAAGATACTATAATTTTGGCCAGGAATATATCATGGGAGCTCTGTCAGGGAAGACGGTCTTACTTGTGACCCACCAAGTTGACTTCCTTCCTACTTTTGGTTCTGTTTTGGTTAGTGATCTTACTATGCTTATCAGTATGCTTTTTCAGAATGATATTTCCTTAAAAATCCCACTTTTTTATGTAGTAAGTTAGCCTACATTGTGTGTAAAGAACTGTCCCGGTAAATTTTGTTTTGTTGACAGTTGATGTCCGAAGGAAAAATCCTCAAGGCGGCTACCTATGATCAGTTGCTGGCTTCCAGTCAAGAATTTCAAAATCTTATCATTGCACATAATGACACTGTTGGTTCTCAGGGAGAGACCGAGTATGGATTGCAACAAAGACCAAAAACCTCCAAAGAAGAGATTCAGAAATTAAATGCTCCAGAACAGATAGGAGCACCTTTAGGAGACCAGTTGATTAAGCAAGAAGAGAGAGAAACAGGAGACACTGGTCTAAAACCTTATATACAGTATCTGACTCAGAGCAACGGTTTCTTATATCTCTTCCTGGCAGTTATATGCCACTTCATATATGTAGTAGGGCAGTTGATTCAAAATCTTTGGTTGGCCGCTGATGTACAGGATTCTAGTACAAGTATACTGAGCCTGATCTTAATATACACGCTGATCGGCTGTGGCATGTCACTCTTCTTGATCCTTAGATCTTATTTAATTGTTATTTTAGGTCTTAGGACATCAAAATCTACATTTTTGAAGTTAATGATATCACTTTTCCGAGCACCAGTGTCCTTTTACGACTCAACACCCTTGGGTAGGATAATCAGTCGGGTAAGAATATTTCATAGAAGACAGAATCATGCTTCAATGCATTAAAAAAAAAATTGCTTCAATGCATTTCATGGGACTCATATTTCTTTCTTATGTAGGTATCTTCTGATCTGAGTATTGTGGACCTTGAATTGGCATTCAAATTCAGCCTTTCTCTAGGGACAACAATGAGCACGTATTTTAGCTTTGGAATATTGGCTGTTATTGCATGGCCAATCTTATTTGTCATTGCACCAATGATTTATGCAACCATTCACTTACAGGTAATGCAATAAGTTTACTGATTCTCTATTTTTTTTTATTTAACATAAGAAAGCTGAATTAAAAAGGAATCCAATCTTATTGTGTTTTTTTTTTGTGCCTGTATTTTTTGTTCCACATGATGTCTTGTAGTTCTCTACCCTTTCTAACAAATAAGGTGGTTTATTTGTTATAACAAACAGAAATTTTACTTTGCTTCTGCAAAAGAGTTGATGCGAATTGATGGCACAACACGGTCTTCAGTTGCAAGCCATCTAGCTGAATCCATGTCAGGAGCAATGACCATCAGAGCTTTTGGAGAGGAAAATCGATTCTCCACAGAGCATTTGCACCTTATCGATGCAAATGCTAGTCCATTTTTCCACAATTTTTCAGCAAATGAGTGGTTGATCCAACGTCTGGAAGTACTATGTGCAATCGTTCTCTCATCCTCAGCCCTTGCCATGACTCTGCTTCCTTTTCAAGCTTCTGACTCAGGTTACTGATCTCTATCTTCACCTGTACAAAATTTTCTCATACTGTCTTGCGGCTCATTTATTTTTATTGTTAAAAGATAAATTCATCATTTTAATAATTTCCTAATAAACATTTGGGTCATCAATGTTGTGATGGCAGGATTAATCGGAATGGCTCTGTCATATGGGCTTTCATTGAATGTGTTCGTCGTTAATTCTGTCCAAAGCCAGTGCATGCTTTCAAATTTGATTGTTTCTGTGGAAAGGTTAGAACAATACATGCATATTCCCAGTGAAGCTCCTGAAACCATACAAGGCCACAGGCCATCGCTCAACTGGCCAACTGTTGGTAGGGTGGAGATCCATGATTTGAAGGTAAATAGAGCATCACATAACCAATTTCTTCTGTCTATTTTACAAGTTCCAGACTTATGGATATCGATGTGCCAACAAATTACATAAAACAGGTCAAATATCGGCCTAATGCTCCTCTAGTTCTTCGCGGAATCAGCTGCATTTTTGAAGGTGGACACAAAATTGGAATTGTTGGCCGCACTGGTAGTGGGAAGACAACTCTGATTAGCGCCTTGTTTCGCCTGGTAGAGCCTACAGATGGAAAGATCATAATCGATGACATAAATATATCTACAATCGGTCTCCATGACCTCAGATCACACTTTGGGATCATTCCACAAGATCCAACCCTTTTTAGTGGACCTATAAGATACAATCTGGACCCCTCATCCGAGCATACTGATCATGAAATATGGGAGGTAAGGTTGCGGTTTTTAACATTAGAGGGGAAAAAAAAAGTACCATACAATTTATCAACTGAATCTTACTGTAATTTCTGCCAATGAAAGGTTCTCGAAAAATGTCAGCTACGAGAAGCTGTTCAAGAGAAAGAGGAGAGCTTGAACTCCTTAGGTAAGTAGGATTGTGTATAGAGGTGCAAACCTTTAGAAATCATGTTCTTATATTACTAAAAATGCGACATTATAGTGGTACAAGATGGATCAAATTGGAGCATGGGACAACGACAGTTATTTTGCCTGGGTCGAGCATTGCTGAAGAGGAGGAAGATATTAGTGCTGGATGAAGCCACCGCATCAATTGACAATGCAACAGATTCAATCATCCAGAAAACTATAAGGACAGAATTTGCAGACTGCACTGTAATCACAGTTGCTCATAGAATATCAACAGTGATGGACTGTACTATGGTTCTTGCTATTAGCGATGGTGAGTTTTCTATTCCAAGCATCGTGTTAAGAAAGAAAAATTAAAAATGTTGTGTTGTCTTTGTAATAGTTGGTATAACATTGATAGAGATTTTTTTTTTTTTTTGCATTAACAGGAAGATTAGTAGAGTATGACAAGCCAATGAAGCTACTGAATGAGGAGGGCTCACTATTTGGGCAACTTGTGAAGGAGTACTGGTCTCGTTCCAGAAATGCTAGCGGGCTCTCATAAGATTGGTAGTGAGATTATTTTTTGTATTACCACGAAAGTGCCTTCATGAAAAGGAACGTCTGCTATTAAGCCACGCAAAGTTAACTTCAATATGCGGTCCTATGCCTCGTAAGTTTAGAACTAGATTGGGACATGGTCGGTGAATTTGACGTGAAATAGATATGAAATTTGTGTTTATATTTATTTATCGTAATTTTGGGGTGATAGACGACTAAATTCGTTTAACTCCAATCTCTAACTTGAATATAATGGCTTAATATTCCTAAATTAAATTCCTAAATTAATTCCTAAATTAAGTCCCTATAGTATTACTCTATTTTCGTATCATATCATTTAGTACACACTCATACCTAAATGAGTAACGGTGGACACACTTTAGATATATTCGGATTAGTTTGGGCATGTTAGTTTTATTTTAAAATCTTTTGATTAACTTAACCATTTATTATTGATATGCACTTTAACATTGAGTTTAAAGCCTAGCAGATATTTGTGATCTTGCTCACAAAATTTTAAAATAAAAAAAATACATGGTATATCCTTTAGCGTACGTATATGTGATTTTGACATTAATTTTATTAGTCATTAATAATGAAGTCATCTATCAAAGTATGAAAATTTATTGGGTCAATTATAACTAACAATAATTAACCTTATTTTCAATAAAAGACTATAATTAATCGCTTTTCTGTTGTACACGGATTATGGTGTAACCATGTATGATCAAGGTCCTAGTAATAGTCATGGTTACATGGTGGAGTATTCACACGCTCCACCACCTCCGCAATACTACTACTATGCCCCTCAAATGTTCAGGGATGAGAATCCAAATGCTTGTTCTGTCATGTGAAAAAAAATCATTGGGGGAGAGAGTTCAACATTGTAAATAAAGCAATATAGCCAGGCAAAAATGCCAAGTATATAAGAGTTCCTTTAGATTAGGACAGATAATTTCCTATTAGGAAATGTGTCATTAGATTATAGAAACGGTTGAATGGCTGGCCGGCAATTTTAAGCAGTTTCGTTTGTTAGTTGGTTATTAATTTGTTTGACTTGTTTGTTGCAATTAAATTATAAATACAATTTTAACCAGTTGTATGATAATTTCATTATTAATGGTATTTAAAATCTCTGTGAAAAATTGTGTTCACGAGGTTGACATAGACCTTTTTGTATATAAGCTCTTCGAATTTTATTCTGATCATTAGGATGATAATCCAAAATTTTAACTTGTAGCCCATAATCTACGGGAAGATTTTTAACATCAATTTTGCTATGACTTCACTTAGAATGTCATATAACACCACCATGATAATCACTTTCGGTTGTTTCAATATAATAGAGGACTATAAGTCCCAGTTCCAATTCAATATATAAAAATAAAACAAATGAGAGAACTAAAAGTCTCAATTCCAATTCAACATATAAAAATCAAATACAAGAGAAGACTACAAGCCCCAATTTTATTTCAATATAAAAAAATAAATACAAGACTACAAGCCTCGGTTTCAATTCAATATATAAAAAATAAAACACAAAGAGAGGACTACAAACCTCAATTTCACATTTTCAATTCAACACATAACAAATAAAATACAACAGAGGGCTGCAAGTCCCAATTTCAATTCAACATGTAAAAAATAAATTAAAAGAGAGGACCGCAAGTCATAATTTTCAATTATAACATATAAACATAAAACAAAGGAAAGGTCTACAAGTTCCAAATTTAGTTTAACGTATAAACATATAAAAAAAGAGGAGATGACTAACCTTTTTCGCAGCATATTAATCTTTAAATCCCCCAATTGCCAATATCATCTTCCATCGATGCCAACTCCAGTCTGGCCACCGCAGAGGATACCCCCGATACATTGCAACACAAATTATCGAATCGTCAAAATTTTGTTCAATTTCAGAATATGGAATGTTTAATTTCTACTATCAGGAAAAAAAAAGTCCAACGGGTAGGGAAAAAATAAACTCAAATTATTCCCCAACAATTAAAAGTTTATAAGATAATCAAAAACCGAAGAAATCGTAATTGATGGATTACCTCGACAGTCTAGTTACGGTAAGCTCTCATTGTCTTCGAAAACAACCTCTCAAAATGGTGAAGGGCTCGAGCAACTTCTAGCCTTCTGCCTTTGGAATGAAGAGTTATGCTCCGTCGGATAGAAATGATAGAAAATATGAAGGATAGAAAGAATGAGGGATAAATTTTTTATCTTTTAAGAAAAAAAAATAAGAATGATATACTTTTTTTTCTTTGTATTTGGTTGGATGGATGAAAATAAAAAATGACTAAATTTTTTTTTTTTTATACTGACTAAGATTAAGGGTGACAATCGAGTCATGTCAGACTCGTGTTGAGTCATTACGGGTTTGTGTCGAACATTAGTCAAACCTAACTCAATTCATTTAACTAATTGTGTTGTGTCAAGTTGTGAGTTGACCTATTTATTTTCATGTCGTGTTCGTGTTCGTGTTGACCCACATAAACTTTGAATAAAAAATTTTACGCTAATATTCTATTTTCACTTAATTGAATTAATGTTAACATTTTTTTCTACAAATTAAAAATTAACTTAAATAAATATAATAATAATAAGTAAAAATATATTTTTTATATAATAATTATGTCAGTGCTTAATAAATAGTTACAAATAATTAACATTTTATATCTATTATACTAGTTAAACATGTTAGTTTCGTGTTAATTTCATGTTACTATACAAACGAGAAAATAGAGAAAGTGCATATTTTTAAATAAATGGGTTGATGAAGTTAATTTTGAGTTTGACTGGTTGAACTGAATATGAACCTTTTATATATTTTATTTGCGTGTTAGTTTATTTTTAAATTCGTATCGAGATATAATCAAATTCATGTCTAGTTTGAGTCATGTTATTGTGTTGAGTCAAAAATTTTCACCCTTAATTAAGATGGAAATTTTTTATTTTTAAATTTATTTTTAATTTTTTTTAAAAAAATATATAAAAATACGTATTTTATCATTATATTTTTATATGAAATTAATGTATATATATATATATATCAAAAGATATATATACATAATTATCTTTCCATCTAATTTTGGAGGGATTGATTTTGACGAGTTGGAAGAAAAATTAATCTATCAACTTTTCTATTATTTTTATTTTATTTATTTATTAAACATGATATTTTATTTCTCCCTTTAATTTTTCATCTTTTCAATTTTTTCATTATACCAAACGAAACATTAAAAAAATGAGAAGGAGAAGGATAGAAAACGAAGAGGAATAGGGAAGAATTGAGAACGAATAGGTTCTGTCGGTTGAATCATCGAAGCTTGAAGGTTGGAGGTTGGAGGTTGGAGGTTGGAGGTTGGAGGTTGGAGGAGTTCTCTTTTGATGGTGAACGACGGGACAAAATGGCTGGAAAGACTAAAGAGGCACTTTTAGTCTTTTATAGTAGCTTTTATATATTTACTGCAACACGTGTTTTGCACGTGAATAATTTTTGGATTCAAAATATTAATAAAAAATATTAAGTATATACGTGTTTTTATATTAAATATCATCTCAAATTTATTAAAATTATATTTTTATCGCTCTTATTATACTATAAAATTCAAAAAATATTTTATGTTTCCAACAATTCATTGTTATAACTATAAGAAAAAAGATAAAAATAATTCATTTGATGAGGCTTCAACTTATAATTTATTGAACAAAATAACTATAGTCATCAATATTTTAATCACTACTTACTATAATTATGAATTAGTTAGGTCAATAGGAATACACTTTAAGTCTCTAAAGTATGCATTTTTTTATTAATTTTGTCTTTAATATTTGAATTTTGTTAATTTGGTCAATAAAATATTCAATCCTTGTGTAAATGGTCCCTAACTAGGTGGTCCATTAAATTTTTTAACGAAAATGACAACGTGGTATTTCGTCAAATAGTATTACATAACCAACACGGCAACACGTGATCACTTTTGTCAAAAATATAATAAATTATTTGTGTATAGATCATTTAAACCACTAACTTTAGAATCCAAATTGATAAAATTGATGTAATGAGGACCAAACTAATAAAACATGTATATTTCAGGGACTAAAAGTGTTATTAATCTTAAACTATAATATACTATTCTATAATATATATTTTAAAATAATATTAAAATTCTAAAATTCAAGTTTTACTTAAAAATACACTATAATTTTTCTTATATAAACTCTTAATAAAACATGAAAAGTTTATAGTAATTGAAGAATTATGTTGATTTATCATAAATTATTTTTTAAAAAAACAACATAAAAGAATATTTTTTTATCTTAAAAATGAAATTATTAAAATTTTGGACAAAAAAATATAAATACATAAGCATAATGTTATCTTTATATTTGAAATCAGTAATCTTAGATTGATGAAAGTTTTGAAGATTTTTTGAACACAGTGTTGAAAACTATAGTGATGCATATATTTTTAAAGGATAACGTAGTCAATTAAATTTTTGTATAGATACTGATATTTATACATAGTAAATAGAGAATTAAAAAAGATGTTAGAGATAATTTGAAAATTTAAATACATAAACATATGATTGTAATTTAGATATTTAATTACAGAAGGATAATGTGGTATTTAAAATTCTTTATAAGAGTAAAATAATGAATTAAAAGTTTTAAATTTTAAGGAACTTGCGTTGGTAATATACATTATTAGCAGTATGGATGGAAAAAAAAATACATATATAGACATAATGTTATTTTTTTATTTGAAAAGAGTAATGATCTATTAATAAACTTTTTGAACCTATGATGATGCATATATTTTTTTAAGGATTGCGTAGCGAATTATTATTTTTAATAAATATTGATATTTATATAAAGATAATAAAGAATAAAAAGATAAGTTAAAAGATAGTTTAAAGATTTAAATACATAAGATTGTGATTGTAATTTAAATATTTAACTATAAAAAGATAATATGGTATTTAAAATTTTTTATAAGGGTAAAATAGTGAATCAACAATTTTTCACTTAAAATATTTTTATTAGTAGTATAGATAGATATAGATAAGTGAGATCCATATATTTGTTAAAATAGCATAATTATTCATAATTTTTTTTAAAAAAATTATTGGGGAAAAATCTCTGATAAATTCTAAAATTTTAAAAATTACACTTACTATCCAATTTTTTTTAATATTCCAATGGATCCGCCGTTGTCTACTTTTGGAATTGGATCGAACATCGAATTGGCAGAGGGACCGGCTCATTGGCTCACTTGGACCCAAAAAAAAATGATTCATTTAGGTCAACCGGTTGAATCGTTCGTATAATAAAAAATTTAAAAATAATAAAACAATATTATATCTATAATTATATTTACAATAAAATCACAATCACACTACCAATAAAATCCACAATCCAATCCCAATCAAATGAAAGATAACTATAAACCATTGGGGAGAGACATCGATTACGTGTGAGTCTGGTCTGGCCGAGTGCTTGTTTGTGTGTGTGAGAGAGATAGAGAGAGGAAATTGAGTGGCATGACATGATGTTTAGGGGCACTTTATGTGGTATTTGATAAAATTAAAAGTAAGAAATTAAAAATTGAACTCTAAATTTTAAGTGCTAAATGCTAAATGCTGAATTTATTAATTGTAAATTTTTTAGTTTTCACATAAATTTAAGTACTGAATTAAATCAAGTTAGTTGATAAGTATACGAGAAAAACTCTGAAAATAAATAATTGTTCAATTTCACCTATCTAATAAAAAATCATTGCATACCGCTAAAATATGAACAAATAAATAATTAACCAAATACAAAGAAAAAATAAAATAATGATAAATTGAACAATAGGAAACAAATATCCAAAAAAAATTGAACAAATATGTTGATTGTGTGTGTATGAGTTAATCTGCTTGTGTGTGTGTGAATATGTGTGTGCTAATATGCTTGTGTGTTAGTTTGTGTTTTGCGTGTGTGTTGCAGCAGGGGGAAGAACTTAGCTGATGCCGTTTGGACTTTTTTGGCAGAGGCGATGAAGGAGCAGAGGTGCAGAGGATGAAGAAGAATAGTGTGAAACTGGTGGGGGCAAACGGATCACGTGTATGTTATGTAGTTATCCACGTTATGTTATGTGTTACTTTTCATTGTATGACGGATTGATTTAATTAAAACGAGATTGATAGTTGATGAATTAAATTTAAACAATTGAAAATTCAGATATCGATGAGTAATGAACTCAAAAAATAGAGTCATAATAAATAACGGTGGTTGCGATTCAATATAGTCACTATCACAAAATGGAATCATTTACTTTCAATCATTTTAACATTGATTTTAACTTCTTTAGAAATCATTTTAGTTTTAGACTTTTAGTGTTATAACGTAATCAAAATTCAATCATATCAACGTTGGTGTTCTGGAAGTTGCAGAGGTAATGGAGGTATATTAATGTTTTGTTGCTTGAACTCACCCCTCTCCAGCCACAGACTAATAATAAGATCTTCCTCCAAATCTGTGGCAGCAACTATGTTATACTTACTGAATTTCATGATGTTCACATGCACTTTGGATGTCAAGTTTATGGCTTCCCTATACAAGCCTGATGTGTTTTCCTTTTCACTGACAGCAAACAGTTTTTGAGTCGGAATCGGAGAATGGCTGAAAGTGTCTGGATCATCTTCTGTGGGGACCCTCAGTGTTCAAATGGAGGCAGAGACAATTGTAGTTCTATCCTATCTGCCATTGTTCATCCATATTCATGTACCAACCATGTTTTGGTCATTTCTGCTGATAGTCTCCTCCTGCTCATCTTCCTATTTATTGTTTTGTACAAGTCATCAACCAAATTTGAAGCCCCATCACCCTCTAAATGGTACTTATCATTATCAGTTTCTTCTAAGGTTTCCAATGGCGCTTTGGGTTTGGCTTACCTGGGCATGGGGCTCTGGATAATTTCAGAGAGATTGAGTTCCAAACAGAGCATAACCCCTCTGCATGGTTGGCTGGTCATGGTATTCCAGGGACTCACATGGTTCCTGATGGGCTCAACAGTGAGTTTTAAAACCGGACAACATCCACATAGTATCATGGTGAAGATTTCTTCAATCCTCGCCATCTTTTTTGCAGCATTTCTAAGCATCCCATCTGTTTCGAAAGCTATTCAGGACAAAGAAGCATCTGTAAAGATTGTGTTAGACATTTTGTCATTTCCGGGAGCAATTCTACTTGTCTTATCTGCATTTGGGGAACCTAACCAGGCAGAAACTGAAGCAGGCACCAAAAGAAATGCACTCTATGCACCTTTGCTATGCAAAGAAGCGGATAATGGCAAGGAAATTCGTATGGTTGAGAATGTAACTCCTTTTGCTGAAGCTGGATTCCTGAATAAACTATCATTTTGGTGGTTGAATGCACTAATGAAGAAGGGTAAACATAAAACTCTTGAGAACAAAGATATACCAAAGTTAAGGCTGGAAGATCGAGCAGAAACATGTTACTTGAAGTTTATGGAGCAATTGAGCATACAGGAAAGGAAAGAATCTTCTGATTCATCCTCTATTTCATCTACAATATTTCTGTGGCAGTGGAAAGCTATTTTGACATCAGGCCTCCTTGCTCTGATCAAAGTACTCACCCTGGCTATCAGCCCCTTGCTTCTTAGAGCTTTCATTAGGGTTGCTCAAGGCAATGAGGCTTTTAAATATGAGGGTTATGCTCTAACCGGGGGGCTCTTCCTTGCAAAATGCTTTGAATCAATATCAGAGAGGCAATGGTATTTCCAAACTCGACTTATTGGTCTCCAAGTAAGGTCTTGCCTGTCTGCAGCTATTTACAAGAAGCAGCTAAGGCTATCAAGTGCCGCTAAGACAACTCATTCTCCTGGAGAAATAATGAATTATGTGATTGTGGATGCCAATAAAATAGGTGAATTCCCATATTGGCTTCATCAAATATGGACAACAAGCCTTCAGATATGTCTTGCATTGGTTGTTATTTACTATTCTGTGGGTTTAGCATCTGTTGCAGCCCTATTAGTGGTAATACTAACTGTAGTAGGAAATACTCCGGTGGCCAAATTACAGTACAAGTACCTGAAAAAGCTTATGGTGGCTCAAGACAGCAGGCTGAAGGCCATTACAGAGGCTCTTACAAGCATGAAAGTTTTGAAGTTGTATGCCTGGGAGACACATTTCAGAAATGTTATAGAAGGGCTTAGGAAAGAAGAATATAAATGGTTATCGGCAGTTCTCTCACAGAGGGGCTACTATCTGGCTCTGTTTTGTGGTCTTCCCCATTGTGTCGGCTATTACTTTCTGGGCATGCTACTTCCTTGGAACCCCTCTGAATGCTAGTAACGTTTTCACATTTCTTGCAACTTTACGTATTGTTCAGAGACCTATCAGGTTGCTACCTGATGTTGGGGGAATGTTCATTGAAGCAAAGGTTTCCTTAACTCGGATTGAGAAGTTTCTTGAGGCACCCGAATTGCGGAATAGACATATCCAGGAGAAGTGCTTTGGAGAGGAACTTGGGAAGTCTATAGTGCTTAATTCCACAAGTATTTCATGGGATTCTAACAAGTCAAAGGCTGCCCTAACTAACATAGATTTGGTTGTCAAACCTGGTCAAAAGGTAGCCATATGTGGAGAGGTTGGGTCAGGAAAGTCAACCCTTCTGGCTGCAATTCTTGGAGAGGTTTCAAACATCATGGCATAGTAAGTCTTCCCTATTATGCTTCTTATCTTCAATTTTAAATCATGGATTTCAATACAATTTGTACTCAACTTTGAGGACTGGTCTGTTCAAAAGCTAAGAAATTAAAAATGGGGCATAAATGTTAAGTTATTTGAACCTGTGATCTGTGTGTATGAATGATTTTCTTGCAAATGCCCATAACTATTTGTCAATACAGGGAAAGACAAATAGCTTATGATTTTCACTCCATTGTTTTATTCAACTCTATTTTCCAGGTTCAAGTTTATGGAAGGATAGCTTATGTTCCTCAGTTAGCATGGATCCAAACAGGCACCATACAAGACAACATACTGTTTGGGTCCACCATGGATCAACATAAGTACCAAGAAGTACTTGAAAAGTGTTCACTAGTAAAGGACCTCGAAATGCTTCCATTTGGTGATCGCACTATAATTGGAGAAGAGGTGTTAATCTCAGTGGTGGGCAGAAGCAGCGAGTTCAACTTGCACGCTTGCACGTGCACTATATCAAGATGCAGATGTGTATCTCTTGGATGATCCGTTTCGTGCTGTTGATGCACAAACTGCTGGCAGTTTGTTTATGTAATCGTAATTCCTATCTAACTGCAATTTGTGCATCTTATGAACTGCTTTCTAACTGAAAGATACTATAATTTTGGCCAGGAATATATCATGGGAGCTCTGTCAGGGAAGACGGTCTTACTTGTGACCCACCAAGTTGACTTCCTTCCTGCTTTTGGTTCGGTTTTGGTTAGTGATCTCACTATGCTTATCAGT